AGCTCAAATTGTTTTAGAACAATTAGAGTAATTTGATTTTATTTTTGTGGCGTACTTGACGTTGACTATTTTTAGTTATACTAATGATTTGTGTATCGCTTTAAAAAGAAAGGAGCAAGATATTGTAAATGCCATGAAACTAGTTACTTTCACAAAAAGTGTATTGCAAAAAATGAGGGAACAAGGGTGGGAGACTCTCTTAAACAAGGTTACTTCATTTTGCACTAAACTAGACATTGATGTTCCCAATATGGATGTTCTTTATGTTCCTCAAGGAAGATCACTACGATTTGTCAAAAAAGCAACAAATCTTCATTATTTTCGAGTTGAAATATTTTTGGGGGTAATAAATTTGCTTCTTCAAGAACTTGATAATCGATTCAATTAGAAAAGCATGGAGTTACTTACTTATATGGCTTGCTTAAATCCTAAAGATAACTTTTCATCTTTTGACAAAGAAAAGGGAAAAGGTACTCAAACTTTATTTTTTTTTTTCTCGAAGAATTTTCAAGTTTTGATTTGATGACACTTGAAGGCCAGGTCAACTTGATATATTCATGGAAAATATGCACAATGATGAAAGGTTTCAAAGCTTGTGTGATCTTAACTCTTTTTCCATGATGCTTTTTAGTACCAAGAAGGATAAGACATATCCTTTTGTATATTTTCTTATCAAGTTGATGTTGATTCTTCCTGTTGCTACGACAAGTGTTGAAAGAGTGTTTTCTGCAATGACATATGTCAAAAGTAAGTTGCGAAATAGCATGGGTGATCAACTTATGAATGATCGTTTGGTCACTTTTTTATATAAGGACTTGTTCCTACAAGTTCCCAATGAAGAAATCATTGATCGTTTTCAAAATATGAAGATTCGAAGGATGCAATTATAATTTAATATTAAACATCATGTAATTTTTTCATCTTTTTTTTTTTAAATTGTAGGACTAATTATATATTGTGGATTTTTTAGTTGTAAAATTTTAACTATAAAACAATACTTGCATTTATTTTTTTAATTTTGGGTTTTTCTAAGCTATGCCCCTCAAGTTCTTCGATTTCTAAGCTGTACGCATGCTTTTTCAAAGTTATAAGTTCAGCCCTCTACCTCACGATATTTTATTAACAATACCGTTTGACAGTCATATTCGTTAACGAAAGTTAAGTTATTTTATCAATAAAGGTATCGTGGTGTTATTAATTTGACACGTGTCCCATTCTTATTGGTTTAACGCTTTAAAAAAAATTAAAAAAATAAAAAATAAAATAATAATAAAAAGGTTATTGTTAACGTCAAAGGTTATTGTTAATAAAAATTAGTAAGGTTGAGGGCACAGCTTAGACGTTAGAAAAAGCATGGGCAAAGCTTAGAAACTGAAGAAGTTTGGGGGCATAACTTAGAAAAACCCTCTATTTATTTTTTGTCAAATGATGAGATGTTTAGTTGTCGTCCCCCCATAGTGACCCTAGCCTCTCTTTCCTCTCTTCTCTCTCTAAAACCCTAGTCTCCATTGTTGAATTTGGAAGGGCTTCTATCGATTTTTATCAGTGGAAAGCCCCTATTATTTGTTTTTTGTGCGCTTTTTCTATTGTTTTAGGTTTATAATAATTCTTCTTCTTCTAGGAGGAATATTTCTCCCACGAAAGACAAGGTTTTTCTTATTCTTTAGGAGGATTTGGCTCCTTCGAAAGACCGTGTTTTTCTTCTCTCTTTTAAGGAAGGATTTGCTTTTTTATTTTATAGATTGCTATAGAATCGTTTCATGGATAAAATTTTGTGCGGGATCGAAAAAGAGGTTAATATTTTGATTATAATCTAGCGAATCAGACGGAAATTTTCTGCATGGCTACAACAGATCGATAGACCCCCTCGCCGATGAAGGCTGTAAATCACAGCGATATGAAAGAGGGTATGAAGAATGTACGATTCGCAACAAAGATCGAAGCTTTGCTTACAGAATGTTTTTATTTGATTCAATTATGTATTCATCAGATCTAAATCTCTTTGTAGATGGTGTATGACTTTATTTATGAATCAATTTTATTTCAAAAAAAAAAAAAAAAATATTTTTCGTCCCCCCGGTTATATATTCCTTGCTCCGCCACTGATCGGACTCATCGAAACCAACAACGATATCAGATCCTTGTTCATTTTTTGTATATCAAATAATTTTCAAGGTGTTTTTAATGATTTATAATTATGGTTTATATTACTAATTAGATTAATAGCTTAGTTTTATTAATTTTAAACCCGTTTTAAAGCTGATTATGGCCCGAACCCATATTTTCTTCCACAAATAGTGAGTTATGAGTGGAATAGCGTTCTGGAAATGTTTTTACCATTTAAGCTTGTAAAAAAGGCCAAAATCTGACCAAAAATGCCTTTTTCGAGGGTTTTTCATTTTGATGAAATTTTTTAAATCTTTTAACCTTTAATTTTCATGGCATATTTATGTTGATTATGTATATGATTCTTTCCTTAATGCTTCTGTATTTTTTGCCCTCTTTAAGCATGGTTACTTTGTAGTAATTGGTTCTTGAAAGATTGGTTAAATTTACACATAATTGCAAATCCATTGCATTGAGTGTGAAAAATTTATTCTTGAAGGCTTGTAAGTAATAAAGATCCAATCTTTAATTGTTTCAAGTGGTTGGAACTTTGAGTTACTAAATTTCATGAATTTTTGTTAAACTTTTGATTTAATCATGTATTAAGTTGATTGGAATAATAAAGTTTGAATCTTGTGATAGAAATTTCATTTATCTTCATATTGAAAGATATATTTTTTCAAGGATTCACAAGTTAAAGTTGGAATCTTTATTTGAATTTTTTTATGTTCAAAATTCCAACTCCCCTTTAATTTGTCAAATCATATGATTAATTTAAATTAATTAAATTAATAGTGTGTATTGCCCTAATTTATTTTATTGCACCAAGTTGAACCAATTTTATTAAAGAATAGTTCTTGGGAATAATTTTGGTTGTGTGCACTTTGATGAATTTTTATTTAAGTTGGACTTGTTATATTTTTTCATTTTGCTCATTAAATTAATATAAAATTCTAAAATTTATTTGAATTCTAAAATTAATTTGCAATTAATTAATTAAATTCACGCAAAAAAAATTCGGGATTAATCTCGAGAGTGTGGCACGTAAACCAAGGCACATCACCCTCGGTAAGCCGGCTGCTAAGCAGCCCACATGTGGCTGCCAAAGGCTGGTGCGCTTGGTGGGCCCCAGAAGGCGTTGCTGCTGCTTACGGACCAAAGCCATTAAGCACAATGGCCAGCCAGAGGGCCACATCCAAGCACAACAGCTGATGCTAGCACAGCGCGATGCTATGCGCATATGGCTGTGCGAGCATGCTAGAGGTGTGTGCTGCTGTGGGCAGGGAGTGTGAGTGTGTGTGCTTGGTGTTGTTGCGGGGAGTGCATATGGGGTGTGCTACATGCTTACGGCACGATGCGCACAACCCCACAATTGGCACTTTAGTCCCGGGTTTTAAGGCAATGCTAATTTTGTGGTTAAGGCCGTTTTATTTATTTTAATCATTTTAATTATGATTATTAATTTTAATTAATATTTTAGAGGTTAGGCCTCGAGTTTTTGAGCGGCATTTTCAAATCAATTTTGGCAACATTTTGGGTTTACTAGCTTAATTAATTGGATTAATTACGATGGATGCGGAATTTAGTGGGAGCTTCAATTTTAATTGCGCTAAATTACATAATCGGTTAATCAACTTTGACTAGTTTTAATTAGGCGCGTTATTCTGATTAATAACCTAAATTAGTTACTAGTTTTCGGGTGTTTGTGCATTGTTACTTGTTTGTCGTTGTGAAATGCATGGGTCATTCACAAATAGTGAATGGATGAATGGAGTGTATATATTCTCCCGCAGTTTGTATAAATATATTGCAACTAGTGGGGCCCGATTAGGATAGAAAATACGGACTGCGTTCCGTCTCGTATTTTTGTAAATCTAAATATGGTCTGTGAACCGTTGAGTATTTTGTTCCTTAATATTTAGATTAGTCCTAATCGAAGATACTAGTGGTGTCTTTCTGAAAAGTAACACATAATGAGAACATAATGTTTGATGCTCTAAGTGGTGTCTTTTTGAAAAGTAACACATTTCCAAAATGACAAGTGGGAGGAGAATGAACTCGATGACTGTCGAGCTTTGCAACAAACTAGAACTGAGAATCTCGGAAGACTCAAAAGGGCTTCATGAGAATGATTGATCAAGAAAACTCAAAAGGACTTTACAAGTGCCTTAAAAGAGTATTAATTACTCACAAAACTTCTGAATAGTTGGAGTAAGATCAACATAATCAAAGGGATTTGAAAGCGCCTTAAAACTTAGTGTTTGATGCAATTACCCAGTGACGAGTGTTAGAGCGGTGGCACATTCCACACTCAATCAAACTCACTTATAAATAAACATCCTTCAAACCAAGCATAATGATACTACACCAAAAACTAGATTAGAGATCGTAAAATATAGAACGGTTATCAAAGGTAGGCGTTCTGCAGAAGAATATAGATCTTTTAATATAAGAGGCGTTCTGTATGTTAATACATATGGAACGGTTAGAATAGTTAACCGTGCTCTATTTCTTTTTACTCAAATAATTAAAAATAATAATTTTGTATTATATATGATATAGAACAGTCATCTTGACAACCGTTTTGTATTACATTAATTATTATTTTTAATTAGGAGGAAATTACATTCCTTCATACGAAGTAATAATTTACCCAAATTATCAAAGGCTGCTAAAGGTGAAAATTGAAGCCTGCATCACTTTCACTTTCATCAAAAACTGAAACCTCTTTGTCATTCATCAGCAAAAAAAAAAAATAAAAAAAAATAAAGTGAAACCTCCATTAAACCTCCATAGCAAAGCCTTCATCAGCCGCTTACTGTTCAACTCTACCGCCGCTCCACGTCTGCAGTACCGGACCTGTGTGCTGAGCCACCAGTAAATTGAGGTAGTCTCGATTATTTTTTTTTTTGTTCAATTTTTCTTGTGATAGAGTAATTGGATTCTGATAATTGTCAATCTAATTGCGTGAATCATTCGAATTATGAAGGAAACAGAAGTAAATTCGTAGAATTCGAATTTTAGGTGATTGAAAAAAACTTCAAAGTTCTTGTTTTAGGGATGAATTCATCGATTGTTTGTATGTATATATTTAAGCCGAATTATTGCAGTAAGTTCAATCAATTACCCTTTATTTTTTCTAATTTACTTTTATTTCAATTGTAATCAAAATTATTATAGCCAAATTAATATTATCTAAGTTCAAGTTAGAACCCTAATCAGATTTTTTTTTTTTTTTTTTTAAAAAAAAAGGAACAAAGAGATAGTACTTAAAAAAGTGAGATAAACATACAATTTTTGGTTTTGGTTTAGTGGTGGTAATATATGTTGTTGGTAGAATTGATGAGGATATGGCTGAGCCCATTTTGTGAATGAGGTTCGTTTAAAAACAAAATGTTTGGATTTTTGTGTTTCCATCTGCTTTTGAATAAGATTTAGAGCCTACATAGACTTGCTATTTTGCCTCTTCGTTGGATGAATATTCATCTGCATTTAAGGTCAAACAAAATTAGATATAGAGTTTGATGCCCAATGGAACATAAAATGGTAAGTAGAAAGCAAAACAAAGAAGGGTTTATAGACTAAACATTCTACTTGAACTACCCTCTAATAAGAATAACTTTCAAAGAAGGGGTTTAGTCATGTTGGTTAATAACCAGTTGTATTCGTTGATCCCCTCGATCGATCATTGCTCTCTATGATTTCAGTTCTTTAAGAAAAGTATGTGTTTTAGCTTCTACTAATTATTTATAAATCATAATATTATAAATTCATGGCTTAGCTAGTAAATTAGAGTATATTAGTAAGTATTAGCATGAATGTATTCTAGTTTATTTGAATGTATGTATCTCTGGTGTACAAAGGTTCCATCTGGCATTTCATGAGAATTTATCCTTTTGATTATAAAGCCTGAATATTGGATCACCTTTTTTTGTTTATAAAGGTGGTCATTATTTCTTAAGCCTCGCTCTTTTGACCTGAATTCTCCATGTTTAAACGTATATTTGAATGTATCTAATGAGAATGAACTAGTATTATGTTACCTTCAACTCATAAGCTTCTGGACAGTTTTGAATCGGATTATGGTTGATTAACAACTCATAAGCTTCTGGACAGTTTTTGTCGTCACTAGACTCTAGCATTAGTCATTTAAACCTATCTATTTTACATAATAAGTGCATATAAACAAGTTAGTTTTTTAGAATATAAATATTTTATTGAAAATTAATGGATCATAGAACTAACCATCAAATTTCCCAGTAAAGAAACTCTAATGTCTTTACTAGGTCAGATATTCCTGATTAGTTGATCTGAAAATGTTTTTTCCCTAAAAAGATGACCTACTTGGCTGCATTCTTCTAAGATTTTGATAGAGCATCGGTAGAAGATTTCATATTTGCTTGTTTTTGTGTCAAATTCATGTAATTTAGATTAAACATTATAGTGCAAATAAGCTTTAGGAATTAAATTCGGATTGCACTGCTTTAATTTCTCCCTAATGCTCCCTGCTTCTTGAATGGACTCACTAGCAAACTGGACCCTAATCACATGCCATTCTAATTCAATCTATTATATTTATACTCAGCCTCCCTCATATAAGGACTCTCATACTTAATTGAATTTGTCTTATACTGCTGCCAAAACAAAACAGTTACCACAGCACACACACCACACTCCTTATTTGTCTAAATTGGCTTGTAACTTCCTCGTGATAGAGATGGTGACTGTGGTAGTGAAGGAGATGGAGATGGTTTGGGCTGTGCTGGCGCCACTCCTGCTGGATGGAAAGGGGACTGTTGTGTAGGTGGCTGAGATGGTGCTTGGGTCTCTTGGCTGGGACTTGGAGCAGCAGGTGCTTGCTGAGGTGATAATAGGCTAATATGGTGCTTGGGCCACTTGGATGGAACTGTGTACTAATATCTGCTACTCTGCTTGTTGCATTTTGTCAAAAAAGAAAAAAGATATACATATTTATATTTAATTAGATGAACTTATTTTATACTATTAACTAATATGTATGTATTTTACATTGTTTTGTAGTATTTTAAGCAAGTTCCTCCAACATATTCTCAACAAATGATCGATAAGCTTAGGGAAAGGTGGATTTCATATGTTACCGGATACCATCAACCAAATGAAAACGACAATGATTTATGTGAATTGTAGATCAATATGGTATTGTTATATCTAAGCATAATTTTTTTTTAAAATCATCATTAATTAGAAAGGTGTTTTGATAGAACAAATTGTTTGTATAGAACAAATTTTGTATGAATGATTCAATTTAATTGTGGTTGGATGTTATAAATTATATATATGAAGTACATTTTGATTGCTTTTGTCGTATCTAGAAATATTTTTGTTAATTTTATTATACAGAAATTTATATTGCATGTATACAGGATCATGGATTTATTTTAAATAGAAAATGTGGAATTTTTCTTTGAGGATAAATGTATAAGATAAAATACAGGAATACATACAACAAATATAGGTCTAAAATGAAATAAAAAAAACAGATTATCAAAATACAGAAATAATACAAATAAAATACGTACAGGGCTAATTTGAATAATCAAATACATATGGTCGGATTTTTATTTTTTATTTAAAAAATAACATTAAAGAACTGTTATCTAACTTATCGTTCTCTATTGTAATGCAATATAGAACGGTTAAGTAGCCTAAGTCGTTCTCTTTTCCTTTCTTAGTGTACGAATTTAAGAAGGGAATAGAGAACGGTTGTGACTAACAACCGTTCTCGATTTGTCAATATATAAAACGCCTAAACGAACCGTACTCTATGCTTTATACATCGCTTAGCAGAAGAACGGCCCTAAGGCGATCTATAAAGCCTATTCTAATAGTTCTCTTAGGCCTTTTTTGTAGTAGTGTGACAAGTAAGAGTTCGGTCCACAAGGAAAAGGATATGGTTGCTAAAGATCTTAACACTTAAGCTAATTCGAAGTCTTTGATGAATTAGGGGTTCGTCAAGTAGACAAACAAATTTTGGTTCTAAAATGATGTATTAAAGAAACTAGGGAATGGGATTCCTTCAACCAAGGCAATTAGGAAAACGGGGAGTACAATAGACAAGATATATCAAGGACTATATGCAAGATCAACCTCATGCAATTATGAAACAACTCACACTACTAACTTAGATTCCTCATTAGTTTAGCAATAGAAGATACATAATCGAATCGCAGTAAGTAATGCCATGCTTCATTCACATTTCCATGTCAAACTAAGCATATCATGCTATCAAGCTCCTAAATCAAGGGTAGCTAATCCTATCATGAAGAACTAACAAGCAATCTCATGCAATCGATTTAACTGCAGTACAAACCTCAATGCTACTCGCACATTTGCATAATTAATTTAAAAGGTTGACCTTCACCCAACCCCTAGAAAGAAGACTACTCACAACTCATATTCATGAACATGCAAACAAGTATTAGGGTTCTAGCTACTTCAATAATTGGGGAAAAGTGGTTAACAATCGAATTCACTATCATCCAACAAGAAATTATCAAGAACTAAAAGGATTCAAGTAATATGAAAATACCAAATAAAATATGAAATTAAGTAGAAGAAGGTTGAACAAATTACTATATGAAGCTTCAAATCTTGAATACAAAGTGCCAAACCTTGAAAATAATTCTTAAATTTCACTCATAAAATGATTTGATTTGATAAAAAACTAAGCTAAATTAATTAAAAGCAATGTTTAAACTCAGAGAGGTTTCTGAAAAATAGGCTACTGTTCTGTAATTACAAATAAGCTAAAGGGTAAGTATTTATACTCCCTGAAACACATAGGGAAATCCATCAAAATAAAACACATAGGGAAGCATTATAATGAGGAGTGCCTGCTCCTCTTCTACAAGCGCCCGCTCCAGAATGCTACACAACCTCTCTAGAATGCTTCAGTGAAAGTTAGATTTAAAAGTGTCTAGGAGGAGCACCCGCTTCTTACAGGGTGCACGCCCGCTCCCCTATTCCACACCATAGGCAGAATTCAAATTCAAAGGGAGGAGCGCCCGCTCCTAGTCAGGAGCATGCCCGCTCCTCACAAGCTCTGAATTGGGCAGATTGATGTTGAAGTTGAGGAGCGCCCGCTCCAAGAGAGGTGCACGTCCGCTCCCCCTAGAGCTGGCTCTCCCTTCTTTGTCTTCAAGCCTTGAACATCACTCCATGCTTTAAATGATTGTCAAATTGAGATATAGTACCTGCTAAACATGGAGAAACACAAGCAAAAAGGGGCAAAGCCGAGATACAACAATTTATTTTAAAAACGGGTTAGAAAGAGGGGGAAAGATTGCAAAATTGGGTTTAAATCAATAGTATAAGTGGTCAAATAAATGACTTATCAAATTCCCCTAAGCTAGCCAAAAGATTTGCCTGAAGCAATTCACATTTCCCAAAAACAAACCAAAAGATCAATTTGCTCAAAGAAAAGCACATGCATAGATACAAGAATCCTCAAATAATAAAATTCGAGCATGAGGTATATGCCTAAGATGAACCAAAGTCATGACTAGTCAAGGCCTAGCTAACCTTTCCGAAAATACTCAACTTAAGCCTATTCAACACATCCTACCGCATCCCCATCACAAAGTTTAAATCCCCCTAATGGTAGTGTCTCGTGACTCCTCGAAGGAGCCGGAAAAACATAGATAAAGCGGGTTTCAAAACACTCGACGTCTCAATGAAAAAGTACCTTCTCCATATGCTTGTGAATCGACTCCCTCCACCGAATATGGCTTCCACTACTCTCCTAATCATTACAAAACTCAGGACTTCGACACAAAGTTAAGGCATAGATAGAACTAGAAGTGTTTTGCAATTTGAGCCAAACTAAAATGTATATCATTAAGAGAAAACCCTAAGAAGTTCCTAACTTTGACCCATGCTACAAACCATTATAGAATTGAAACAAAAACACACCCCCAAGCTTGTTTAATTGCTAGGGTGGTGACATTTCATCACTTATTTTCTTTCTTTCTTTCACTTTTTTTTTTCCTTTTCTTTTCATTTTTTTTTTGAAACAAACTTGGATATTTACATCACTAATTACTAAATACAATCATCTTAAAGATTGACCTAAAGAAACAAAAATGATATGCCTTAACTTTTGTGAATTATCAATACATAACAACCTTCATCAATAATAATAATAGTTTAGGTCGTTATTTTGGGTGTTAAGACTCAAGTTCTCGATCTAGGTACTAAATAAAAGAGGATCCTTTCCACTCATGCAAAATGTAGTAGGCTTGAAAAATATTAAAACCTCACTTTTTGGAACAATGTGGGATCAAATACTACCATTGAGGATCAAATTCGTTTGAGATAGGCGACACCATCTTAACACAAACCTGGTCTTTAAGTCTCGTACATTCGGTAAGGTTATTCTCACACTGGCCAATTCTATGTTCAACCAAGGGGATCTAAACCATGTTCGAAATTTTATTACAAAAAGAAAACAAGCATCCGCCACATATAATTCGATATCATCAATGCAAACCGATCAAAAGCAAAACAAACTCTTTTTTTTTTCAAAGCTCATTTTTCCCCTTTCATTTTTTTTGGTTTTTTAAGTAAAAAGCTAAAAATTGGGGATAAAAGAGCTAATTAAAGAATTTGGATATTAGGGGTTTGGATGTTAGGGAATTTGGATATTAAAGGGGTTAAAAAAAATAAGAAGAAGAAGTTTGAATATTAGGGAAAGACCAACATCATCAATCATCATCAATGAGACCAAGAGCAAACCAACCATACCATGCAATAGAACATCACATAAACCAACCAAAAATATGCAAATACCAAAGCTTAATCATAAGAATAAGATGCTCTAAAGCACAGATATAAGGAGAAGTGAGACAAATACATCAATATGCAATTGTTAAAGCCTAATAAGCATGTCATATCATCAAGAAAAGAGCACAACCAACCTAAAATAGGCATGCAATCTAGAACATAATAACACACGAATCCTACCACAAGTCCCAAAGGCTAAGCTAAGCCTTTCATGCCAAACATTCCACATACAAACTCAAACTTCTCCTTATATAGCACAAGATCATCACATGAAAGCACATATCCTATCAAAACTGAAACTACCCTATACACAAAGACCCCAAGACTTCCCCCAAGATATACATTTGTTTACCATTCCCATGATAAATGGACACAATGAGAAACATCTCCCCCCCCCCCGCCACAAGCTAGAACTCGACACCAGCCTCGGTGTTACACATAATGGGAAGTACGGGAAGGGAAAGATAAGAACGTCTAAAGCTACTCCCGATCATCCTCCTTAGGCGGGGATGGCATGTATTTATAGTTTAGGTCTACATCGTCGGAGTAGGAAGGTTGATTCACATATGGAGGAAGATCATAGTTGAGGCTACTACTATTGTGACCGTAGTTCGGTGCACTGCTAGTACCCCAACCACCATCATACCCGGGTGGAAACCAAATTATCCCCTTAAGGGGTGGTTATAAATTTCCTCGGGAGCCATATTACCAAATGTCTAGGAGACGTGGTAATAAGAAGGGTCCCCCTCTAAAATCAGAACCTCCGGGTTGTGTATAATCGTAGGGAGGGAAGGATCTATCGTAGCTCCAAAATGGAGCTACGAGGTCCTTGCCAATAGGAGTACGTGGGTTGGTTGTTGTTCTAACCCAGAACCGCCCCTTCTTGTACGGGGCGGTGAGGATAGTTAACATAGGGGAGGAAATCTCCCCTCTCAACTTGGTTTTGATAGGACCTTTGGGAGACAAAACTTTGGTATTCATTTTCTTGAAGGATTCTTTGGTTGGTTAGGTTGAAATGGTGAAAGGCCGACTCAAGGTTGAAGGAGGAAGAGGAGGAAAAGGAAGGGCCGCCCATAAAGCTAGGAATGGCTAATATGTTATGGTGGCGGGGTTGAGTTGGTTGTTCAAGGTGGGGAACATTCCCGGGAGTGGCTCATTTGGCACTTTCCAAGTGGTTCCAACGGTGTTCATTACTGCCGCATTAGGGAGAATGCAACGGTGTTTCCCCTTAACCAACAAGAGTAGGTGGTCACATTAACCTGGATTTCCACAAGCATATGCATTGATGAAAGTCCGCAAGGCCAAGGGAATTGGAGCCATTCACCGGGGTTAATTGTTCAATCCAATTGGTGAAGTTCAATACCTTGGAAATAATAGTGATCATCCGACCACACTTGACCTCACCCGTCAACTTCGTACTCTTCTTAATTTTAAGGCACCTATTAACAAATAAGTACCCCATATTCACGTTACCCTCATGATACTCACTCAAATTGGGAAGCTATAAAGAGGTATTT